AAAAGCTTCTGTTAGGGGAGCTCTATCCTTTGCAAAAGGGAAGGAGACAAAGAGATGGAGGGGGAGAGAGGTTTGAAAAAGAGTTAAAGTGTGTTATGTGCACGCACCATCTTCCCCCATGAACATAATCATTATGTACTACAAACATGTACTGATAAACAACAACAACAAAATTTTTTTTTTAATCTTGTGTTGTTGGGCTGGGTATTTAGTTCAGTGGCACCGTGCCTGCCTTGCAAATACAAGGTCCTGAGTTCGGTCCCCAGCACCCCCCGCTCAAAAGCTTCTGTTGGACACCACTGTTAGCAGTGCTCGCAATAGTGGTCACAATTCCATTACCAGGTCGTGAAAGTGTCCTATTCCGCTTCTCCCCTAACCCGGAATCATCACTCCTTAATATTTGGCGGTGTGAGAAGTGAGAAAGCAACATCCCTGTTACTTCTGTTGTTCTTTAGTAAAGTTCCCAAACTTTAGTTAAGTTTAAGTCCATCACCTTCATAACTTTTAATAAAATCACCATCTTTCACAACAGTTTTCTTTTGGAAAGGTGAGCATTTAAGAAAGTCTGTGGTTTTAACCATCATATGGTGCATGCTGAGCATAGCCTTCTAAGGGAACAGGCTTGGGGAAAAAACACCAGACCAAGTAACAGTGTTGTCCTTTGGTTATGTTCCGGACATGGTGCTGTGCGCAGTGTTTCACAGGGGCCATGTCATTGGAACCCCACGGCAGTGCTGTGATGTGGGGATTAATTGCTGTCCGTATCTTCCAGTGGGGACACGGAGGCTGGGAAAGTTCAGAGATCTCCCCAGACTTCAGAGCTGGTTAAGATGCAGCTGTGACCTGAGTCTGGCCATCTGCAGGTGACCCTCTTGCACGGCTCTCAGGTGTCCAAGTGTTGTACTCTTGTTGCTGCCTCAATCTCATTGCCTCAACTCTCTGTATCCAGCATCCTAATAGGACATTTAGGTTTTTTCCTTCTGGAAATTTCCCAGACATATGAGTTGACTAATTTTATTATTAACTTTATTTTCTTTTCAATCACCATAGGAGCTATTTGTGTTTTATCACTAGTTCCAGAAAATAACTCACAAGGAAGCAATAGATACATCAAACAAGGTATTCTTCACTTGTTTATAACAAGTAAAGAATTTGAATCAAATTAAATGTGAACCAATTGGAGATTAGTTTAAGTCTGATGTATTCAACTAGATGAATGCCCTGCAACCTTTAAAATATCATGTGATGAAAAGTGATTACCCAGTTTAGTGAAATATTTACACTACATGTAAAGGGCAGACTGCTGCATTTATACATAATGTAAATGTGCTTCACTAAATTAAAAAAAAAACCTGCAAATACATCTATGCAGTCATAGGAAAAACACTAGATAACTTCTGTTGCTTCATAATTATAATAGTGCTTAATATTTTGGGGTATTGACATTGTGAGTGATTTGTATTTTTGATGTGTGAATTTTTTACTCTCAAGTTTTCTACCTTGAACATATCTTAATTTATGCTTGTGGGAAAAAAGAAAGATTGGCTATAGATATACATAGAGGGGAAAACATTGCAAGCTTTCCAGAATGAATTGTGTTTACTGTAGTCCGCATTTTCTGTACACTTAGTATAATATTGTGCAGGACCCAAGGGAAGTGAAAAGAGAAAGCATCATCTGTTTCAACATATGTGGGATAATACAGTGTTCTCTGTGTAGCTGGCCTTGTGCTTGGGCACAGACTCCGGTGCTCACACTCCAGGATCAAGCCGTACACAAATGAAAGGTGCTAAGTGACATGTCCAGGGGCCAACATAGAGACAGATATAAAGACATACAGAGATATATAAAGAAATAGAGAGAGACAGATATAAAGCGCTGTCTGTCATAGTAGCTGACCAGGTTCTGAGCAAGTTGGTTGAGATAGATGATGGAATTTCTTCTGCATTTCAAGGGACAGAAGGAGTGTGGGTTGGTGGAAAGGTTGGTCAGAGGAACTGTCAGTTATGTCAGAGATGAGAAACTGTTTTGCCTACTAGAACAGAGCTTCCTACTTAGAGCTTCCTAACCTGGGGCTCGGGTTTTAGGATGAGTCTGTAAAACTTGAGACTATTCATAAAATATTATATACGAGGTAGGATCTAAATACACGGTGAACGTTTCAACTTAAAATATTATTACAGTAAAAGACACATTGCCACTAAGCACCCTCAGAACCCCTCTCCTGCATCAGACACACGTCTCCTATCAGTCTTCCCCCTTTGTGAAGCAGTTCTGAAAGTCCGCTTTCCTAAGCGTCTTTTTTTTGTTTATTTGTTTCCATTATTTTTCATTTTCTTATATTGATTCCATTCCTGAGTGTCTTTATGAGGTGTGATAAAAAGTTCTGCACATGCTGCTGCCAGGTGCCATCCGGTGGAAATTCGGCCTCATGAAAATATCAAGGTGTGTCCTCATCCACTGTGTGACTTCTGGCTCTTCCCCAAGGCAAAACGACCACGGAAGGTAATTGTTTCAATGGATTCAGGCACTCACAGTCCTGCCACTGAAGATACAAAGTGAACTTTCAGATCTGCTTCAGAAAGTGTCAAGAATGATAGGATGTGTTCTTTTCCGTCATAAATTCATGTCTAAGGAGTGAGCGTTCACTATAATTTTTGATCTTACCTCATACATGTGCTTTTTTCAGTCTATAAGTATCAGCAGATTTTCAACAGGATTTTGCTTCTAGAAAGGATGACAACCACAGACGAGTTTCTGTTAGAAGAGTAACAGAAAGCCTATCGGAGGCTGGTCTGCAGGGAGATGGGTGATTGGGAGCCTTCAGTACCACATGGGGGAATTGAAAGTTGACGGAGAAAAAGAGAGCATTGCAGCGTAATTTGTAACATTTGTAGAGCAGCTTAACCTTTTATATGCTCTGATAGTCTACTAAGAGATCTCTGGCTAACTTGGTTTCTTCCCTTTTATTTTCCATCCTAATCTGGAAACTCTTTGGGAACCCATCAAAAATCTGTGAACTGTAACCTTCCACCCCTCACCCATTTTCACCACATCCCTGGAGAGTAGTTTCTCATGCTATTAATTTACAGAAAAATAGGAAAAAAGTCTACAACTTCCTTACAGGAGCTTTCGTTATCTGTAACTAGGTGGGGACCTGCCTGGAGGAAAAAAAGACCCCAAATTACATTTAAAGAGAAGGTGGAGACCAATGTTTGGGCTCCAAAGAAGAGAGATTTTTAGAGTAGTTCCGTTTTGAAAGTTGATAATCTGTTAATTTAGATAAGACCAAGTAGCCGTGTTAAATAATGACCGAGCTTGGCCTCTTCCGGAAGGGGCAGGGTGTAATAATTAAAGCAGCTACCGCGTGTCTCTCAGACCATTTTGCTTGAGCTCCTTTGCATTCATAAAGAAAGCATCAGACTTGATGGAAGAGGTGGGAGGCGTGTTGGAAACTATGAGATAGGATTGAGTGAAATGGATTTTCGTTTTCTTTTAATCTGCTTTGAACCAAGAATGATGGGGATAAGTGTGTCCCAAGCGAGTGGAGTATCTGGAGTGGGATTGATAGCAGTGTGTCTACTGTAAATTTAAAAATTTAAGCTCACTGTATTTTTTGACTCTGCTTCATGTATTCTCAAGCTCTCAGACTCAGAGTACTTGAGGTGTAGACATAGCATTAGGTTTTAAGAATTTTGGGGGCAGAAATACTGTTGGGAGCTAAAGATGTAACCCACAGAGGAGTCACTTTTAAAGGCCCTGCTTTTCCTTTCTACCATTCCACTTAAGTCACCTCTGTGCCACTGCACTCAGCACAGCGGACTCCCTCCCCATCCTCCTTGGTCCGGCTTCTTCTGGGGTCGGCTGTGACACCAAACACACCTGGTTTTCCTCATCCCTCAGTAGGCTTGTATTTATTTATTCATATTTTTATTTTTACTTTTTGGTGATGCTTGGCGTTGAGCTCAGGGACTTCACACTTAGCTGTACGCCCAGCCCATGTATTTTACTTTACTTTCTAAATGTTGAGACAGGATCTTGCTAACTTGTTTAGGCTGGGCTCTCATTTGCAGTCCTCCCGTCTCTGCATCCACCATACCTGGCTTGACGTTTGTTTTGGTTTGGTTCTGGGGATGGAACTCCAGTCCTTGTGCTTGTGAGGCAGGTGGCGGCACCACTGAGCTAAATCCCCGGCCCTGACATTTCTTCTTAATATCTGTTGGAAGGTCTTTTTTATTTACTATAAATTATACTTATTAACTTTATATTTTAAAATTATTATAAATTTATGGGAAGTTTCAAAAAAATAGTAGAAGAGGATGCAAGTATCCAGTTTCCATCAGTGATAGTACAATATCATAGCCAGGAGAATTACACTGGCACACTCTACAGAGCTTATTAAAATTTTCCACCTTTTGTGCACTTGTGTGTGTGTGGTTCTGTGCAAGTGGATCATGGACTATTTGTGTGTTTACTTTTTAGAGAACTTTCTAAAATGTGGTTTTGCCATAACTTTTATCCTCTCACTTTGAGTAGAAATCATGGGACAAGATGACATCCAGTCTGGTCGCCTATATGGTATTGGGACTCAAGGAGGTCATTTTCATAATTTCCAAAAAAATTAAGCAAGTAGAATTTTAACAAGTGAGAGTTCTAGTGAAAGACTTTTAAAGGTGATTTCTTTTCCCACCTCTTTATGAATATGCCTGCCATCTCTGAGAAGGGTGACCCTGGAGATCGCATCTGCTCCCGGTGAGAAGAAATCAGAGGCTCAGGATGTACAAAGGGACTGTGTTCCAGAGATTTTCTTCACATGGGTACACCATGGAGAACACAGATGCTGGGTACCATGATGGAGCTAGATTTGAGAACAGGGAAAACACAGCCACGTCTCATTGCTCCTGATTCTCCTGTACATCCTGTTTGCGCTGCCTGTTTCTTTGCTGTGGCCTTTTCAAGTACTGAGCATTACATCACAGATTTTCCACTTTGTATTTCAGGCCAAAGACGCGCTCAAAAATACTGAAGTTCCTGTTGGCTGCCTCATGGTTTACAACCATGAAGTCGTGGGGAAGGGAAGAAATGAAGTGAATCAAACGAAAAATGTACGGGAGTCGAGCCACACGATGGCAAACACACAGAGGCGGCGGGAGCAGAGTACTGAGGGGAATTAGCAGGAAGACGAGGCGGAATGGTGGCGACTGGGCAGTCCCCTGTGGGGCTGGGGTCCTTTCACCGTTCTTTTTTTTTTTTAATACTGTTTTGTTCTGATTATGACTGCGATACAGTAATTTTTATTATGATATGGGAAATTCAGAGAAATTTAATGAAGCTATAGAATTGTAGTGAGTAAGTTTTTGGTAGCACAGCTGCTCTTCCTTTAGCAGGAAAGGAGGGAGTTGACTTAGGTGATGCAGCTCAGTAATTATTTATTCAGGAATTCTGAATCTGAGTTTTAAAAGGCACTCAGTTTAGGGAAACTTTGTTTTAAAGCTGTCGTGTGGGTTTCGTTATGCAGCCAGGACCGGCATCACTTCCTCCTCAGAGTTTCTGAGAGTGATTTACCTAAACATCCCCCCTGGCCAGCTCTGCTCCCACCTGGCTCCTGTGGCCTCTTGGGCCTCAGTGCTGAGACTTTTCACATCATGCCCCAGGTTGTAGGTGAATTGGTCACTTCCCCTTGCTGAGACAAAATGCCCAACACCCACAGCTTGAAGGAGGTGAGCTTTCTTTTGGCTCAGTTTCTGTCCATGGTCAGCAGGCTCTGAGGCAGAAAATGGTGACCCATGGCTGCCAGGAATCAGAAAAAGAGGGGAGCTGAGGGCAAGAATCCACCTTTCCAGGTCATGCCCAGAGGGACCTGTCTCTTCCAACCAGGCGCCCCCTCCTTCAGTGGACAAGCCCTCTGATGAGTATAGCACCCTATGATCCCAACATCTGAGACATTTGGGGTTCAATTTAGATCAAAACCATAACGATAAAAAAACAAAACAAGCACCTCTATTAGCTGCACCACTTCTTGTTTTTTTTTCTTTTCTTTTTTTGCTTGTTGAGGGCAGAAAATGTTTTATCCTACCCAGAGTTATTTAGCACAATGCCTTATACATAATTAGCACTCATAAATTATTGATAAATGCTTCTGTAATGGATATTGTAAGTAGTTGCATAGAAGATCTGTGACTCACAGTAAGCTATTTTTACAAGAGGCGGCAGGGAAGAAGTAACAGAGTATACACATGGAGTCTTGCAGCACTGTTTCGTGTAATTCCAGTTGCCTTGTGTAGAGGGGTAGATCCCAGGGCACTTTGTTTTCATATGGGAAAACAGGGCTTCAGGGAGTTAGATAATTTGCCCAGCACCCTGTAATTAGTATTGTCCCTATCAGCATTCAGATTTAAATGTGGTTGATTTCACATGCTGTGTGATTTCTCCTAGAGAACTGACTCCCAT